CTCCATCCCCCCCTGCCCCGCCCCCCTTAGATCGAGACAATGCACGACGCCACCTGCCAGCGCATCAGGGAGGTCTCAGAGGCCCACGGCCTGCCGCTGCCAGACGCGCTGCGCCCCAGCTCCATCCCGGGCCCCAAGCAGATGTACCACATAAACCTGTCGGGTGGGCGCGGAATCGAAAGGTCATGGGGCCCAGCATTCCGCGAGCCCGCGCAACGCCGCAGGAAAGCGGCGGCGCGGCCGCCGCTGCCGGAGTTGAACCGCGGAAGCCGCGCGCAGAGTTTGTTTGCTTTGAACCCTTTGACAGCTCAGGGTGGTCTGACACTTATTACACAGAACGCTCAGGCGCTGGGGCGCCGCTGTGGCGTCGCATACCCTTCGCCTCTGCTGACGCGTCTCCCTGTCGCCGCTCCTGGCCCTGGGACGCTGCGCCTTGGTGCCCGCAGTGTTCCGCAGCACGGTGGACGTGTGGGGCATCTCCCAGGTGTTCCCCATCATGCCCATCCACCGGTGAGCAGCGGCGGGTAACACTGCAACCCATCGACGTCACACACACGCACTCTACACACCCGCACGTCTCCTATGACCAAGAACACAGCACCATGTGCACAAGCGCCCCCTCCCTCAGCAACATCGACTTCTGTGGCGCATGAAGGAGGATTCAACAACCACCATGGCAACCATGTCACTGGATCACTGTCGCACCACCGCCCTCAACCCCCGTCCCCACCCTCGGCATCCCCTCAGCGACCCCTTTCCTGAGTTACCGCGCCAACCATTGATTGGCGATCCCCCAGAAAGCAACCAGCCCGGGTGCAGCTCAAGCCGTGCCAAGCAACGCCTGGCAGCCCCTGCCAGCTCCTCAACTCCGCCCGCCAACCACCACCTGCCAAATCCCACCCACTCCCCCACTACCGCCCACCCCTGCCCACCCCGTGAAAACCGTCTGCTGAACTGGCAGCCTGGACGAGGAGCCCACTGTTCTGGCCACCCTGGCTGACCTGACCTGCGACTCAGACGGCAAGGTCGACAAATTCATCAACCCACAGGTCCGCAGGGCCAAGGGTTTCAGGGTGGTTGAGCCGAATTCCCACAGGGCGTGCGCGGTCAACTGTGGGTCACCTGCACCCCGCACCCCAGAACGCATCTCAAAATAAGCCGCATGGTGCGCCGACCGTCCCTCACCCCTCCCATTCTCCTCACCCTCAGACACTCCAGCCCCATCCCGCTCCCCACCTCCACCCCCCTCCCGAGCCCAATCACCGACCCCAACGC